TGAATGTTATTTCATATTTCCTTTTTTATTTGTTTAACTTCTATGGATTCGTTTTCTAAATTTTTTTATAAGTTTGAATAAAATAAAAGAAATGTTTTATAATTCCACGTCTTATACTCAACTGACAATGGATTTAAATTAATTATTCTTTTTTTTATTATGAATTTTTTTATCATTTTTAATAAAATAAGGATATCACAGACAAAATCAATTAATGCAACTCCCTTTCCTCCCAACTTATTAATGATTTTTTTCAAAAAAAGAAAACAAAAAAAATGAAAAGATATATATAGGTGCATTTATAATACCTATTGCCACCTACTGAAACAACACTTCCTAATTAACAATAGGCAGTGTATTGGACCTTCACATGGCCTTTATTATGATTTAGGCCTAATGCTCCAAGGTTGTATCTCAACTTTTAGAAGATATTGAATCTCATCTTGCATGAATAGATTTTTAAAGATTGAAAAACTATATTTTTATAAATTTTATTGTGTAATAGTTTCTACAAAACATAAAAAGATAAAATAACTCATCACTTTTAACAAATATATTTTTGTTCACGTGTAATTTTTGTATAAATTATTGTAAAATTTTTTTGTAAAATTTGAGCCATTGCAAGCTCACACTATTATGCATGTTGCATTTAGTTGTAGGATACCTACAAAATAGCCTTACGTATAAGGATATTAATAACTTTGCTTGAAAATACCTTTTTTTTTAAAAAAAAAATCTATTTATTTAATTTTTATTGACTTGAGCATGAAGGATATTTACTTATCTTCTTAAACAACTATTGGGAACTAAATAAAATATTAGGGGCAAAACTAAAATCAAGAAAATATAGTTCATTAATAGTTTAAGTAAAGAATTTAAAAAGAAAAATGATTGAAAAATGAGAGATTATGTGACAAGGGCAACACTCTACTAAAGGAAGGAGGTGACCAACAAGTGAACCACAAGTGCTCAAGAAACTTGCGTTGCAAGAATGAGATGTTAAAAATCAAAGGATTCATTACAGTAGAGAAAATACCTAAACTATTGAGCAAAGACCGAGATGTCAAACTTGTTTGAACTACAATTTCAGAAACAATTCATAGGTAGACAAAGATGTGTAGGAATACTCCTTCAAGAATAGAGAATTGTTGCTTTAGCTTCTTGGTTCCACAACTTTGGTGTTTAGAAGTGAGAAGAAAGAAGTTAAGCTATAGAGAGAAACACTATCTAAAATTGATTGAAGGTACAAATAGAAAATAATAGAGACAATGGTCAATATTATTGGTCATTGTGCTACTTGGAGACCAAAGGATAAAGAATTATATAAGCAATAGAGAATAGAAAATAGAGAACTTTTTTTCCTTTTTAAGTTTGGTACTTCAAAAGTTTCAGGGCCTTCTCAAGAGAGTAAAAAGGAATAATAGAGAAATTTTATAGGAAATTTCTTCTCAAAGAGACCTTACAAGCACGCTTCCTAAGCTCATAAACTCATAGCATGAAATTTTCTTGAAACATTAATCAACTTCTTACAAAAAGAAGACATGCTAAGAAATGAAGTAAAATTATTCTTCTAAAAAAACACATATTACACTCACCCGATTTATCCTTATAATAAGCGTGTATGAACTTCCATTCTTGGATGCTTAATAATTTTACAAATCTACTTTTTGTACATTTTTGTTTAAAATAGCAACTTAATTTTGAAAATTCATCATTATTGTAAAGGTCAACATTTCCTGTGAATTTAAGATAGTACATGTCATAAAATCTATGAGACGGTAACCCATCAATAAATCTCTCTGCAATTCCTCCTAATTTATTGATATTTTCTATAAAAAAAAAACTTAAAATAAAAATATAGGTATTTTAGTTACTATTTAGTACCATTTGCTACTTAATATTTCACCAAACGGATTATCTAAACATTAAGTTTAATTAATAATGCCCCACTACACACTCACTTTTGCAATTAATGGCTAGCAATTGTATATGAAGTTTAAGAAATTAATAACAATTCTTTAAATGACTATTATTTGTTCTCTAGTGATTAATTATTATAATCAAATGACAAATAGCAAAAAATAAAATTATGAAAAAAAATTGTGAATATTTATTTTAACTTGTTCCATTAATTAGCAATTACTTTCAATCAAGATATTTACGTTAAGTGAAGAAGATGCTAGAAATATATATGCAAGAAAGTTTGAATTATGTTTCTTGAAGTTTTTAGAAATTTAGAAAAAGCTTTGTAAAACAAGAACTTGAGAACAATTAAAGCATGCAAGATCTATAGTCAAAGCTTGTACTATTTAGATAATATAAATGCAAAGGCGACAACTTTATACCCTAAGTATATTTTATAAGTTGTTCCTGTTTCAAAAAATACTTTAATGCTATCTAAAGAAATTTTCTAATAGAAAACAATGATAGCTGCGCTCAATATTCTCTCAATTCTACTAAAGATATTTTAGATATTTACAAGTAAACTTAGAGAAATAAATAAAGAAAATAGTTTCAAATTATATCAGTGTAAGTATATTATTAAATAATTTAATAGAAAAAATAATTTATTTTTAAAATTAATTATTAAATTAAAAATTCTGATTACATGAATTATGTATGAAAAAACTGTAATCGATTCAAAATGATTTAATGTTATGCATCAAATTTAATGTAATATATAAATTTAAAATATGTAAAAATAAGAACCTTTTAATTTTATTTTTCTAATAGTTTAATTTTAACAAAATTTTATATAAATAATCTAAACAATATATAATTATAATTTAACAGTTAAATTGATATAAATTATTTTTTACGTTAAATTATTAATGGTATAAGAGTAATATAACTTTATATATATTTTGTTGTACACTAAATAACTTAAATAAATACTTAATTTAAAATTTAAGTCATTTTTAATTGAATAAATTAAATAATTAAGCATTGAATTGCTTACTTTTTATTTTATTTTTTCATATAATATTTTAAAATACTAGTATGTGATTTACATTACTTTTGGTTGTTAAATAAGTTATAAGAAATTTATGTATTATTTTAAATTCTTTGTAAAATGAGTTTTTCATTAAATTGATTTAAAAAGATTTACAAAGAGAGAACACCAAAAGAGAAGTTGAAAAGGACACGAGCTTAGACAGTATAATAGTGTTATGTTTTTGGGTTGGGAGAGAAGGGTATCCACACACAGGTAAGTTATCATAATAAATTAAATGGATAAAAAAATATTTTAATAATTAACTGAAATTTTCTGAAACTGTCATTAATTAACTACAATTATTATAATAAATCACAAAAAATATTTAAATTTAACTATTGTTATTTAAATTATAGGTAACATTTAAAATTAACAATAGTTATATAAACTGTGGGTAAAAATTTGTAAAAAAAAATAATTTTTCTAATAGTGTCAATTAAAATGCTCAATTTTTTTTTAAAAATCAAAACACTTTATTTTCATTATTAATCTCTTATTTAACAATTTACTATAGGAACTGTGATATTCCTTCACCCCTGTGTTGTTTATCATAAAGTAGCATTTGTACCTGCACTTTTATGTTTTACAATCTTATAAAAAAAATTTAATCTTAAAATAATTCTCTTTCGTTAAACTTTAAGATAACAAACTTTTTCCTATAATTTTTAAATAAAATTACATAATTTTAAATCCTATATTGCACTTAGAGATATGTAATAATGAAAATTAGATATATTAAGTTAAAATAATTTTTTCTTTTTTAAATATTAATTAATATTTTAATCAATAACTTCTTTTCCTTTTAAAAGTTAAATGATAAAAAATAATTATTTAAAAGCTAGATAAATATTTTAAAGTTATAATAAATTTTTACAAATAATTTAAAATAGCCGTTACTTAAACGGATATCGTAGAGTATTAATATTTACTCTAAAACTAAGTTTTAGAGTTAAATATCACATTATTTTTAAAAAGTTAATTTTTTTATAATGCAAGAATTTTTTTAAAAATATACTTTAGCGACTATTTTATTTTTAAAAAATATTTTATTTTTAATCATTTTAAAACGTTTACATTTTCGTTGTAATCTACTTTGGGATGTTGGTACAAAAGAAACTCTATAATAATACTAGTATACTAGTAATGATACTAATAATAATTGTGATGATAAAAAGAAGAAAGATAATGATCATATATATAATAATCACAATAATAGTAATTATAATATATGAAGCACGTACTTTAATATTAATATGAGATGAGATATGACATAAATGTCTAAAATATACCGCGTAAAATAAGTATATAATAATAAATAAATAAATAAAATATTAAGAGAAATTATTTTATAATATAATTATTTGGTCTCTTTAAAAAATATTTTCAAAGCAAAAAGATAAAATTATATCTTTAGAAAAAACATATTCATCTTAAATTAACATGTTAAGTTATATATACATATGTATAAACAAGATTTGAATAAATAGAAAGACATTTTTAATATTTTCTATTATATATAAGATAACTATTTTAAAAGTGAAAAAAATATTCTTTGGTGATACCAATTAATGCGTGCAACTCCCGGACTGAGTTAGTGAATAGTTTCTTTTTTTTTAAAAAAAGATTTTTAAAAAATTAAAAATAAATAGCCAGTAATAGTAAAATTTTATTAAAAAATATTTTTTATATTTTTATAATTTTAAGATAATAAATATGTATATTTTTTTATAAAAATTTTCAAGTTGAAATTTTTTTAATTAAATATCTATTACAGTTGTAGGTATGAAAAAAAGTATAAAAAAGTTGTGGGCGTACAAAATAGCGAGACATTTGAAAAGAGAAGAGTATCCATTCTTCATTGGTTAAAACACTGACAATAGACAAAAGAAAAATTCACATGAAACATGATGCCAAGCATAGACTGACAATTACTTTTACAAGGAAAAGCATATTAACAGAAGAAGAAAGCAACGTAACAATACCGACCAAAGCAAAGTTTGTTTTCTTATGGCAAAGTTTTCCACTTTTGTACCAACTGAGAAATGGTCTTTGCAGAAGAGCCATCTTCTTTGAGTGCACTAATGGCATCTTCTTTCAACTTCTTCATTCTCTTGAGCATTTCCTTACCTTCTTCCCCTTCCATTAGACCTTTTATCACCTTAGCAATTTCTACCTTTTCAATCAACCCATTTTCACTAACTCTTGGCCTTAGGCCCACTTTGAGGCCCTCACTCAGCACAACTGCATTCATTCTTTGCTCTGCGAACAAAGGCCACGTGATTAGTGGCACACCTTGCACCACACTCTCAAGTGTTGAATTCCATCCACAATGACTCAAGAACCCTCCAATTGAACTATGTCCAAGCACTTGAACTTGGGGTGCCCATGAAGGAATAACCATACCTTGCTCTTTGGTTCTCTCTAAGAACCCAAATGGCAAGAACTTCAATGGGTTAACACCATTTTGTGCATCAAGATATGTAGCATTAGGTGTATTACTAGGTCCTCTTACAACCCACAAGAACTTATGACCACTCAATTCCAAACCATAAGCCAACTCAATCATTTGTTCATGTGACAATGTTCCACCGCTTCCAAAACAAACGTACAACACAGAAGAAGGTTGTTGTCTATCCAACCATGCAACACACTCTATTGCATTTGCATCATTACCACAACCTTTATCCGTTTGGATAATGGGTCCAACAGCATACACAGGAGGCTTGCCACTTCCCTCCTCAGTCAATGCTTTTATAGGACCTCTTTCCATTCCTAAGAAGCTATTCACAAAAATCCCATTGACACCAAAAAATCTTTTGTAACGTTGGAGTGAGAGTTTGTAAAATTGACTTGTTCTATCTTGAGCTTGGGTATAGAGATCCTTACCATGAAATGGTACACAACCTGGTACTTTGATAGGTTCTACCAAATCTCTACACTCACATGAAGTTTCTTCATCCAACTTTAGCAAATAGAAGTGTGTAGAGAGTGTGGTAGCTGCTGCAGGGAAGTAAATATAAGACAACATGTTGAACTCATGTGCGAAATCTAGTGCTACTGCAGCAAAAGAATCAACCACCATGGCCAAAAAGGGTGTCCTTAAAGTTAAGGACTTCAAGGCTTCATGTATAGATGATAAAGAGTGAGTCACTGCTAGCTGAAATTGGGCTGCCATAGGAAGCCCTTGTGGAAGGTCCTTGGGGTTCACTGGTGGGAGAAAAATGGAGTTGATGTTTGGTGGAAGAGTTTCAAGAATGGTTTTCGAGGCACTTGGTGGAGACCCAAGTGTGGGAATGATGCATGTGACATGGATCTCTGGATGGAGCTCAACAAGTCTCCTGGAGAATTGGAGAATGGGCACTAAGTGGCTGAACCCTGCGCTTGGAATAACTGCTATGTGCATTGTTTTCTCCATGGAAATTTGTGGCCAACAAGGTTGTAGCTTTTCACCTGTAATAAATTCAAAGCAGAACTAACGAAGCTTCATCCTGTAGCAAGCGACATCGTTTAAGATATTGAATTTGAATTCTTATTAAATTTTTAATAATAGACTTACGGAGAGAGGGAAAAAAATAAAAATTCAGAGCAGCACAGTTACTTTTGTTTTGAGACTTTTTAAAGAACGACAAACAAACAGGGGAAGTGGCCCCAACAAAAGCAGCTTAGTGCACATGCTTTGTATGTCTGAAAGCATTGAATGTGGAAGTTTTGATTTTTATACACATAATATTATTCTACTTGTTTTGATGATTTTTCTATCTTGCTGAGAAGCGAGCATCAATGAAAGCTTTCTATTCTCCCTCACCGGCCTATATATTTATAGATTAAAATTAAAATAATATATGAATTACACTTTTTTTACTAATAATTTTATTTTTTACTCATGTTTTTAATTAATATACTGTTATTTTATATTTTTGATAAATATTTATTTTTATATTTATAAAAATTATTTTAAGTTAAAATTTACTTCAAAAGTTTTTATTTCTTAAATTTATAATATTAATATATTTTTATTATTAGTATTTAATCAAAAAATTTATTGACGCTATACAATAAAAATATTATATTATTTTATTTTATTTTAAAATTATTTAATTTTATTAAATCCTTATTATTTGATATATTATTCATAGTTATAAAATTAAATCAAAATAGTTAAAAAATTTATTATTTGAAATAATTTTATTATATATATATAATTATTTAAAATGTAAATATTATTTTTTATTATTAAATTATTTAAATATTTATTTTAAAATAATTATAGACAATATTCCATTGGTAAAAAAATATTGTGTTCTTAAAGGCAATACATACAAATATCATAATCTGTACACTTATTAAGTCTTCATATTTTTTTTATAAGACTTGCTGTCCTATTAAGTCTTTACATTTTTTTTATTTATACCAAGTATTTTTCTGTATTCAATTCAATGTTTTTTTTATTCAAAACTTCTCATTTATTATTTACGACAAAAAAAAAATAAAAATTAGAGTAATTATACACTCTCTATTCTCCCTGATAATTGTTATAAAATTTAATCATAATAAATAATGTAATTTTTAAATATGAATACACTACAATTATAAATTCTTTTATATTATCATCTAATTAAAATAAATTGCAATGATACTCTTTAAACTAATTATCAAAAAAATTAATAATTCTTGCTAATATAATATTTATGTAAATATAATATAGCAGCCTATCTTTTCTCGCCTTTGACGTTTAGGTATATAATTGCTCGCAAGAGATAAGTGGAAGCTAGACTTAAGGAAGTACAATAAGAGTTAGAGTTTGATGACCGCAATATTCTCATTCACTTGGAGAAATGTTGAATAAGGAGTATAAAACATTCTACTTTAAGAATAAATTTTTTGTACTAGAAGTTGAGGGAAATTTGGGTTAGATTTAGAGATGGAAACTTTAAATTCTTCTATATCCAGATGATGGTAAGAAGGAGAAGGAACAAGATCTATGATTTATTCCTTCATAATGGTGCTTAGTGCATTAACTAGGACAAGCTTCAATAAGAAGAGATTGAGTTCTTCCACAATCATTTTTCTACTAATATGTGGGTTATAAGGAATGTTGTATATGATGTCCCTACTCCATACTTGTTTGAAGCTGGAGTCTAGGCATTACTTGCAATTGTTTCAATTGAGGAAGTGAGAAAAGTGGTGATGGGAATGCAATCTTTTAAAGCTCTTGGCCGTGATGGCTTCCAATCTTTCTTCTTCAAGCAATGTTGGAATGTGGTAGGGTTAGACTTGGTGGCCATGGTGCAATAGACATTTCTCTTGGGGAGTGCAGATCCTGCTCTTCTAGATATTTTATTAGTGCTGATAACTAAAGTTGGCAACCCAATGAGGTTGAATGAGTTAAGATTGATTAATAAGTTTATATTTTGGCATGCTTTTTATGGCCTATATATTTATTAGTGATATTATTTATCAGATGTTTACACCAATTTTTATTATTATTGTGTAGTTTAATGCGAGAAGGCCACAACTAAGTTTTGAGTGCATTTTGGGCTAAATTAGATAAAAATTGGGTTTTGTAGTAGCCAACACATCCATATCTTTGTAGTCTGCACGAGGGTGCTTCAAGAACATGCATGACTATACTTACCTGCGAGAAGTCCACTATAAAGAAATTTTAAATTTTTCAAACCCTATTAAAAAGACCTTAGGGGCAACGACTTTACACATCCTTTTTGATAACATCTTTTTCCTATTGTCACACTTCACATCTTTTTCTACATCTCTAATCTTGGTGTTAACCAGTCGCTGACGACTATTGGAGCTTTAGGAGCATGTCTTAGATCAAGAGCTCTTATCATCTCTTAATTAAATACTCCTATAGTTTGCATTTACTTTTTGAGTTCTATGGATTTGTTTAGTATTATTTTAGTTCTCTTTTATATTATGTCTTGCTAAATCAATAGTTAGAACTATGGTGGATTCTTTGCATGACTCTATGAGATCTTTATAATTTATGATAATTTTGTGTTTCTGTTCTTGATTGATGTTTACCCTATTATGCTATATTTGTATGTCAGAAATGACAATTTTTAAACATATCATAATTAATTATATTGTAAGCGATCGTACCACATATAGTTAATGGATCTATAGGATAAAATGAGATATAGGATTAGGTGGACCAAACTTAGTTCTTCTCTTTCAATCGTTATTAAATTAACAACTCATAAGCTCTTTAACTCTTTATGCATTCTCTTCTTTTTACCTTGCATGACCATTGGGATGATAGTTTAGGAAAAAATGTTATATTGCATGATCATTGGGTGTTAATAGATTTAGTATGAGTGCTTGACAATCATAAGGAAACCAAAATTAGAATTAATATAAAAGTGAACATAAAGAAGTGTAAAGATGAAACCATACGCCATAGGTTCTTTTTTATTTGTTTATTATTAGAGGTTGTGCTATTTTAATTCTTTTTAATTGCTTTTATATTAAATCCTTGTTTTTATTTAATTTATGTCCTTTAATTTCAAACAATCAAATTAAGAAATTGTTTGTAGTTGAAAATAATTCTTGTGAGATAATATTTTAAAAGCTTATTTTAGAACCCTTTATTACTTTTTAATGTGTACACTTGCCTACAAATAAGGCACCATTGCCAGGGATTATTTTTCCAATATTAAAAAAATCATATTTAATTGATTTGAGCAGTTCTTGTTTTGCTTTAGTCTAATTTTATTTTTTTTATTTTCATCTTTTCTATTTTAGTTATTTTATTTTATTTGTTTTTATTTTTATAAAAATTTCCTTAGTGTATGCTAACTCGTTCTAAGTCTCTTGTAAAATTTGTTTTTCTACCAAGAAATTGAAAATACTGCACAAAGGCTATGAAAAGACTGTATAAAGAAAAAGATGGCAGAAAGAATGATAATTAAAGATTACACGACATCGACTTCTGAAGGTAGGACTGAGAGCATTGTAGCCCTTGATGTAGAAGCCAACAACTTCGAGTTAAAGCTAACTTTGATCAATCTAGTTCAAAACTCTGCACTATTTGGAATGCTAGCTGTTGAAGACCACAACCTCCATTTGACAAAGTTTCATAGACTCACAGACACCATAAAATACAATGATGTGACCAAAGATGCTATAAGGCTTCATCTTTTTCTATTTTCTATTACAGAAAGTGTGAATGTATGGTTCTTCACACTCCTACCAAACTCAATTACAACAAAGGAAGGCTTAACTCAACAATTCATGGTCAAGTACTTTCCTTCATCACGATTCTCTAAGCTTATGACTGAGATTTCTAATTTTTAGCAATGAGTCTGAATCTTTGTTTGAAATGTAGAAACGAATCAGAGATCTCTTGAGGAGGTGCCCACATCATGGTTTCCCCATATGGAAACAGATGCTGATTTTCTACAGTGGACTCTCACATTCCAATAGAGCCACAGTTGACGCAACAGCTAAAGGAGTCTTCATAAGAAAAGAGCCAATTGAGGCTTACACATTGATAGATGAGATGACATCCAGTAATTTTCAATGGCACACAGATCCTTATAGAGGCAAAAAAAGGAAGTTGTGTCAATCTATCAAGCAGAAAGTAACAATTCAATAGCAAATAAGTTGGAAACTCTGTCAAAATAGATGAAAATTCTATTAAAGGCATAAGATTCATTAACAAAACCCTCTACAACTCTGAAAATTGAAGAGACTAACTTCTTGGACAACAATTATAATTCAAAATAGCGTAATAAGCCTACCAACTCATGAGAGAATGGCTAAGGAGGCCAAAGTTCAACTGTCTATCGCCCTCTCTATATGCAATTTCAAGGAATAAGACCAGAAAGGGAAGAAGCTTTAAACTTCAATTGGAGCAATGAATATCAAAGCTTAAATCTCAGATGGAACAACAAAACTTTTAGTTAGAGAAACAAGCCCAAGAAATGGACAAAAAGTTCTTAGAGATAAGCTCTAACATGAACTCTCAATCATCAGAAATAGAAGCACAACTTGAATAACTTACTAATTTCTAAGTCAAAGAACGTTGGTAACATTATCAACTCAGCCAGAGACTAATCGAAGGGAGCAATGCAACACAATTATTTTAAGAAGTGGGAAGAAGATGCAAGAACTGCATAACAGAGGCACATGCACACTTGTGCTTCAAGGTATGCATGCCCATGCTCCAGCAAACACTCCTTTGCTTCTTGATAAGCACGCCCAATCATATGAAGAAGCACGTTACATTCGTGCATACTCTCATATGCAAGGTTATGCTTCAAACACAGAAACTGAGCAAAATAAGAAAGAAGAGCCATCTATGTTGTCAAGGCCTCAATAACTCAAAATTCATTTTCCTCAGGAGGTAAAAAGCAATCAAAGATATCCACAGTTCAGTAAGTTTCTAAAGATTCTAAAACAGTTACTCATCAACATCCCTTTTGCGGAGGTTATTTCTTAAATGCCCAAATACGCTAAGTTCTTCAAGGAGATATTGAGAAACCAAATAGAGTCAGAGGAATTTGAATCTGAGGCTTAATAAAGAATGCGTAGCAATCCTTTTGAAAAATCTACCTCTAAAGCTTAAAGATCCAGAAATTTTTACTATTCTTTGCACTATAGGTAATTCTCATTTTGATAAAGCCCTATGTGATTTGAGGACTAGTATAAATCTAATGACTCTATTTTTAATAGGTTAGGTATGCACAAACCCAAACCTACTTCTATATCTTTTTAGTTAGCAGATCGCTCTATCACTTACCTAAGGAGTATAGTAGAAGATGTTTTAATAAAGGTAGACAAATTTATCTTTCTTGTTGATTTTGTGGTGCTTGACATGAAATAAGATGATGATGTCTCCATCATCCTAGGCAAACCCTTCTTGACCACTGCAAGGGCTATCATAGACATCAAAAAAGGAAAGCTCACTTTGAGGATAGATGATGAAGAAATCATTTTTTAAGTTTACAATTCTTTAATGTACTCTTTTAGCCAAGAATCCTATAATTGTGTGAGCATTATGAATATTACTCCTCCTCCTTCAATTTTTGAAAAGCTGGAATGCCAAGAAGGAGACCCAAGAAGAAGTAACTTGAGGATGAGGAAGGACAAAGGCTCAAATGATAAACCCTCAAATTTGGAGCTTAAAATTCTTCCTCTTTATTTTAATTCTCTTCCTATTTCTCCTTCTATGATTAAGACTTCTAATGCGACAGAAGTTATAAAGAAGTTGTTGGGAAGACAACTATACATCAAGAGAGTAGCCTCTAAGACTTATGTCTTCTTCCAACCATAATCTAACAGGACTGTCAACTTGTGACATTAAACAAGCACTTTTAAGAGGCCACCTGCGTTGTTTGTTTCAGTTTTAGTTACCTTTCTTCACTTATTTTAATTTTTTTTTTGTTAATTTTTTTATGAAGAATAATTAAGTATACTAGGAGCTCAAAGGAGTCGAGTTGATCAATGACCATGCATTTTTCTGGACCTATGTAATAAACATGACCATGCTTAGAGACATGCATAATCGTGCATGTCGTTGCAACAAGAAAATAGAGGTTTCATATTGAGGGCACGGGCATGCATATTTCATTGTCATAAGTTGCGTTATTTTAATTCTATTTAATTGCTTTTATATTGAATCCTTGCTTTTATTTAATTTCGCATCTTTTAGGTTCAAACAATCAACTTAACAAATTCTTAGTAATTGAAAATAATTGTTGTGAAACGATATTTTATAAACTTATTTTATAATCCTTTATTACTTTTCGACGGGTTCACTTGTTTACAAACACTAATAAGCTTTGTAATGTGGCCTATAAGGTCATCACTAAGGCTCTTGTTAATCGGATCAGACATTTTTTAAACAATCTTGTTGGACTTCTCTAAGGAAGCTTTATCCTAGCGAGAGAGGAATGAAAGATAATATTTTTTCTCAAGAGATGATCCACACTATTCATAAGAATAAAAGCGAAAAAGCTATGGTGGCTATATTAATAGATATGGAAAAAAGCCTTTGATAAAGTTAACTGGGAGTTTCTTCAATCTACACTTGTGGTGTTGGGTTTTCTAATTGAATCTCTCAACTTATTATGTGGTAGGAGTGAAGGCTTTGAGTTTGTCAATCCTTTGGAATGGTTCCTAATTACCTTAGTTTGTTCCTTCTAGATGTCTGAGGCAAGGTGACCTTCTCTCGCCCTACCTATTTGTTCTATGCATGGAGCAATTGTCCTTTTTCATTCAACAAGCAGTTCATGATGGTATTTGGATGCCCATTAGGTAATCTCAAAGGTTTCTTGGCATCTTGCATCTTCTTTTTGTTGAGGATGTTCTGTTGTTCTATGAGGTCTTCAAGAACTAGATGAGGAACATGTTTAGTATCCTAGAGTTGTTTTATAAAAATTTTAGGCTAAATATGAGTTTAGACAAGTCAAGAATGATATTCTCAAAAAGGGATTCCTATAAGAGAGACCTTGTCTATATTTAATTTATTGACTATCTGACGTGTAAGTGATTTGGGAAAGTATCTTAGTGTTCAATAGCTTTAAGAAAGCCTGAATAGAGCATTATAATCTTATGTTGGAGAAGATTTAGGGCTGGTTAGCTACTTGGAAGAGTAATCAATTGCTTTTCAAGCAATTATTGGTGGTGTATAATATGTCTCCTTGGATGTTAATTAAGCCTATTTCAATGATTTAAATGAGGAATGTGTTTAGTATCCTGGAGTTGTTTTGTAAAGATTTTGGGCTAAATATGAGTTTAGATAAGTTAAGAATGATATTCTTAAAAGGGATGCCTATAAGAGAGGCATTCTCTACATCTAGTTTATTGAGAATATGATGCATAAGTGATTCGGGCAAGTATCTTAGTGTTTAATAGCTTCAAGAAAGCTCGAATGAAGCATTGTATAATCTTGTGTTGGAGAAGATTTAAGGCTGCTTAGCCACCTAGAAGAGTGATTAATTGCTTTTCAAGCAATTATTGGTGGTGTATAATAGGTCTCCTTCGATGTTAATTAAGTCTAATTCAATGGTTTAAATGAGGTTTTGAGATGTTGGGCCTTTAATGGACTTGGTGAAACAAATGGCAAAGATCAATCTTTAGTTTCAGCAGAATGTTAATGCAAGTATCCAAGATCTCCAGATGCAATTTGGTCAATTAGCTACCATTGTGTATCAGTTTTGGTCTCAAGAGTCTAGTTAACAGCCTTCTCAACTAAAAGTTAATCGAAGAAATGTTAGTGCAATCATATTGAGGAATGGAAAGGAGTTGCCAGATAGCCAACAGAACAAGGGGGTGCCAAGTAATAAGGAGGATTGTTCGTAGGCAAGTGTACCTATCAAAAGGTAATAAAGAATTTTCGAATTAAGAGTTCTCAAGTTATCGTCCCACAAAGATTATTTTTAAATACCAAGAATAACTTAATTTGATTGTTTAAACGTAACAGAGATTGTAACGGATCAAGAACAAAGCTTAATTTTAACAATAAATTAAAAAAACAGTAATAGAATGTATGAGAGAAATCAGATGAGATGAGCCAATGACTTATGGATTCACTTACTACACTTCTTTATATTCTAATTAATTTAATCCTGATATTGGTATTCAAATATTTGCCAACTACTCATAATTAGTTCTATTAACACCCAATGATTATGTAATGTCAATATTCTTTTCTCTGAGCAAACACTCTCAATGATCATGCAAGGTAATTGGTTGAGAAAACATGAAGATCCTATGAGTTTGTTAATTCAATAACGGCTGAAAGAAAGGAATTAAGTGTGATTAACCTAGCCCTTTATCTCATTTTATCCTATTGTTCCGTTAATTACACGTAATACGATCACCTACAATGCAACTAACTATGAGATGCTAAGAGTGATCAAATCTTAACATACACAATATAATCCAATATAATAAAACCAAACATTAAAGAAAAATCAATACCATTATTAAAGTAAAAATCACATAAAAATTATAGTAGGATCTGCCATAGCCATATCTATGGGTTTAGTTACTCATAACAAAATAAACTATGAAGAACGTGATAAATAAACCCATAACCACAAAGGAAAACTCAAACAAAAGAAATCTAGAAAGGTAGAAGACAAAGAGAGTTCTCGTTCTTCGAAAGGGCGCTCAATCACTTGCTTGGACTTCAAGGGGAAGCTTGTCGTCCTTGCCAATGGTCTCCAATGACTCTCAAAGATGAGTTTGGGTAGAACTAAGAAGGGGAAGAAGGTGTGTAGAGAAGTGGAATTGTCAAGTATGGAGCATAAGGCCTCTTTATATAGACTGTGCCTTGAGTTTCCAATTGATTAAGCTCTATCTTTTCAAATCAGTTTTATCCATAATTAGAATCTTAACTAAAAACTGCTACAAATCTTTATTTAAGTTTAAATTTAAAATTTAAAATTCAAACTCAGATTCACATAGCACAACAAGAACTAAAAGTATCTAATTTTTCTCCAGAATATCTCCATAATGCACTAATAACAACTTCCAGCTAAACTGTAACAATTAATAACATAATTAGTGTAAATATATATAAAATAAGGTTTAAGTGTATAAATATAAGTCATAAAATATTTTAAAATATGAACTTATCAAGGATGACAGGCAACAAAGGGCATTATTGCTTAAGGGCAAGCAAATCTCAAGTATGAGGGGGTTGATAAGTCTATATTTTGGCATGTTTTTGTAGCCTATATATTTATGAGTGATAATTATTCTATCAGGTTTTTAAACTAATTTCTATGATTATTGTAAGTTTAATGAGAAAAGGCTACAACTAGGTTTTGGGTGCATTTTGGGCCAAATTAGATGGAAAATTAGACTTTGCAACGACCAACATGCCTATACCTTTGCAACCAATATAGGAGAAGGAGGGGTGCTTCGAGAACATGCACGACCAACCGTGCTTACTTGCGAGAAGTCCAACTATGAAGAAATTTTAGAGTTTTCAAATCCTATTAAAGAGATCTCAGGGACAGTGACTTTACACATCCTCTTTTATAATAAAGAGGCTGAGGAAACGTTATTCTCGATCTCGCTTTGCTGCTTAATGCTATCTTTGTTTTCCTTATTGCTATTAGGAAGCTAGGATCCTATGAGGTGCTCCGCATTAATTCTTCCCATGCGGATCACAATCATGTCCAGGTCCAGGTGAAGGCCTTGAAACCTAGACTTGAGTCCATCACTCCTTAGCCTTTTATTTTTCTTTTTTTTGTTAATTTATTTTATACTTTTCTTATGTGACTTATTGAAACTTGATCAATAGCATGTAGGGAGAGACTTTGTGAATATAATGTATACGTAATGTTTCCTATTCTATGAGATAATTGCTGGCTACATTAAGTTTTGTTTTGGTTTGTTGCTATTACTTTGCATACTCCCAAAAACTCATCTTGGAAAAACATGCCTGCATACATAACCACAAATGCTATTAGAAAAATAACTAACAAAGGGGGTGCAAAGGGAAGGCAAAGAAGATAGATATAATGAAAGACCTTGAAGCAAAAAGATAAACAACTAATAGATGGAGGCTAAAGTCAACTATAGAGAATATTTTTCTTATACTAGTCAGTTGTACATACTGATAAGTGTCAAGTTTTAATAAGTTGTTGTATGAATTTGACTACTTATTTACTTTAATGAATTGAATCTAGATTTCAATTTCTTTTTAAATTAGAAGAATTTGAATTTAAATAGTTTATTTGGCTTAGAAATTGAGACAAAGAGTCCTCTTAATTTTCTTTTGTTAAATTTCTTGATTTACAAGAGCTTAATGAAGAAGGAAGGCAAAGGCAAATGGAAAAGTTGATTTTGATTATTTTTTTTTGTTTCTTGCTCAAGTGAGAATACCTTTCTAGCTTGAATGAGAATTTATTTACTCCATTTTTAAAGAAAGAAGAATAAAAAAAAAAGGGATCGAAGGAGCGGGAAAGGAACTTAGCAAGAAAAAAGTTAGGGTATACATTGGAGATGACTGAGGAACCTTTCCTTAACTATTTTTCCTTTTTCTTTCCCTTTCTGTAATAGACGTCATGAGCGACTAAATCTCCTTTGAGGATTTTATGTAATCTTCTAATTCTAAATATTTGGATGATTTATATATAGTTATCCATTTCGATAGATGTTAGTGGTTTCATTTTGTTCTTAATATTTGATTATATTTTCAATAATAGTATTTTGATTTATGATCCAAGGTTTAACTAGAAAGCAAACCGTAGAATAGGATTGAATAAAATCTATTCAATGTATTTTAATGCTAGGGATATGTTTCAGTATATCAATTACTTCTTAACTCTTATTTTTTATGCCAGAGGATTCATTGAATATTTGAGAAATTATTATTCATTGAACACTCTTAGAAATCTTGTATTTGAGAAATTGATATAAGGAAATATTAAGAGAGTGCATCTATGTCTATGGAACAATTTCTAAATATTTATTCATCAAAATATGGAATAGTGATAAGTCTGTAATTAGGCCTTATTTTACAACCTATATATTTATATTTGACCTTTATTTTATTTGAGTTTTACACTAATTTATATATTAATTGTGCAGTTTGGTATAAAGTTGCCGCAAGAGGATTTTGGGTGCATTCTGGGCCTAAATTGATGAAAGATTAGAGCTTTGTAGCAGTCAGCACGCCTAGACCCATTCAATAAGCACGGGGGTGCTTTAAGCCCATGCACGGTCGTGCTTAAGGCCTTGCACGGCCGTGCTTATTTGTGAAAAGCCCATTTATGAAGAGTTTTTAGGGTTTTCAAATCCTATAAAAGAGGCATCTTGGATACACTGTTTTAGACCGTTTTTGACATCTTGTCTTTGGCTCTAGAATACATTTGATCTCGTCTCTCTTGCACGGGATCTTTGGCACATGTTTGGCGATACTTGGAGCTTCAAGCGATCGTACTTGAAGACCAAGAACACATCTCACACTCTAGTTTGCTATTTCTTTTGATTATGATTTTGTTTATGATTGTTTTAGTTCTTTTCTTTAGCATGAGTAACTAAGTTTATAGCTCGGGCTATGAGAACTATTGTTCATGAATTTATGAAATTTTGATATTTGAATTTAAATTTGATTTCCGTTTTGTGATTAGATTTTATCCTATTGCATTTCTTCCTTAATCTTAATTAATTATATCGTCAGGCGACCGTACCTCGGTTAATTAATAAATCTATAGGGTAAAACAAGACAAATAATTAGGTAGACCAAACCAATCTTTCTCTTCTAATCGTTATTAAATTAACAAGTTCATAGGTTCCCCAAGCTTTCTCAAATTGATGTCTTACATGACCATTGAGGATATTAATTTAGAGAAAAGAATATTAATATTGCATGACCATTGGATATTAATAGTATTCGTATGAATGATTGGTAATCACAAGGAAATAAGATAGTTAAATAGAAAAATAACATAAAGGATTGAATGAGAAAACCCATATGCCCTAGGTTCCTCTCCGATAAGTTTAACCAAGACGTGCATTGTATTTCTTTCTCCTAGTTTTATAATTGATTTTATAAATTATTGGTTTTAATGAATTTCGTATCCTTGAAGCTTAAACAATTGAATTAGGAAATTCTTAGTAATTGAAAATCCATCCTCGTGGGACGATATTTCAGAAACTTAATTTAAGAACCCTTTATTACTTCTCGATGGGTACACTTGCCCTCCGAACAAATAGAATGAATAATGAAATCTATTTTAAACCCAAACCTTAATATTTTATTTCTTAGTTAGATCCCATTATAAATCTTTAAAATTCTCAGCACCTGAATATTTGTACAATATCAATATTTGTGACTAAGAGTTTTAATTAGAATAATAGAAATTACAAATATATCTATTAATTTCAATCAATAAAACAACCCTTATCCTTCTATTAAAACAAAAACTTAGTATACTTGTCAAAATATTAAGACTACCCAGTTTATCAGTCGAATCAAATTTCTTTTCGAAAAGAAACTTCATTGTTTTGAATGCATATACAAACACCTCTGTTAGCAAGTATTTACTTGCAAAAATCAACTAAAGTGTGCGGACAAATTAAGTAGAAGCAAAAAAGTAATATAAAGTCTCAAGTAAATTTAAGCCAAAAAATGCTCAAGTTACCAACATAATTTGCATCTTATTAAAGCTGCTCTCTTTTAGTGATTTTAATATCTAACGTTCCAGTGATGAAATAGAGAATTGTAACCAAAATACAAGAAGTTTATGCGACTGTAACTTTGTCAATGCCACTAAATATTTTGGAGTGACAATCATTGGTTGTTCATCTAAAAAAAAAGATCAACTTAGGCATTATCATACTCAGTTAATACATAATCAGCCCAAAAATATTATATTCAAGTATGAAAACTCATAGGTGGTTATCACACACATTACTAGTATATTATTAGTATGCAACTCCAATAAAGGGTGCACATATCAAAGACAAGACCAACTCAAATCTAACTATCTAATAAATGCCACATATGCATGCTACAATGGGAGCTTAATGTTGCAAATAATCATGATGATCGCATTCTGGATCAGAATTTCACATATAACATTCATTGGTGCCAGGAATCACAGAGTGACTAGCTGTCATTAGAAACCAGAAAAGCAAGAAAGGCAATAAAGCAAATACCCTTACCATACTCCACAAAACATGTTTCTTTATACCAAATTTTCCCACTTTAGTGCTAATTGAGAAAGGGTCTTTGTAGAAGATCCATCTTCTTTGATTGCATTAGTAGCAGCTTCTTTCAATTCCTTCATTCTTTCACGCATTGTCACACCCTTTTCCCCATCCATTAGACCCTTTATCACCTCAGCAATTTCCATCCTTTCCACCAACCCATTTTCATGAACTCTTGGCCTCACTCCCACTTTGAGGCCATCACATAGCAAAACCGCATTCATTCTCTGCTCAGCAAACAGAGGCCAGGTGATCATTGGCACACCTTGCAACACACTCTCAAGAGTTGAATTCCAGCCACAGTGACTCAAGAATCCCCCTGTTGAACTATGACCAAGCACTTGAACCTGAGGTGCCCATGAAGGAACAACCATACCTTGCTCTTTGGTCCTCTCCAGAAACCCAAATGGCAAGAATTGCAATGGATCACCATCACATTTCGCGCGAAGATATGCATCACTGGCTAAACTACTTGGTTCTCTCACAACCCACAAGAACTTATGATGACTCAATTCCAAACCATAAGCAAGCTCAATCATTTGTTCGTGTGACAATGTTCCACCGCTCCCAAAAGAAACAAACAAAACTGAACAAGGTGGTTGTTTATCCAACCATGCAAGACACTCTATAGCATTTGCATCACTACCAAAACCTGCTCCCGTTTGGATAATGGGTCCAACAGGATGCACAAAAGGGTATCCCTTACCCTCCTCTTTCAATGTTTTTATAGGACCTGTTTCCAATTCTAGGAAACTATTAACAAAAATCCCATCAACTAAATGGAATCTTTGAACACGTTGGAGAAAGAGTTTGTAAACTTCACTTGATCGATCTTGAGCTTGGTTATTGAGATCCCTTCCATGAAGTGGCACACAACCTGGTATTCTAATAGGTTGTGGCAAATCTCTGTACTCACATGATGTTTCCTTGTCCAACTCAGTCACATAGAAATACCAAGAAAGTGTAGTTGCTGATGTAGGAAGGTAAATATAAGACAACAAGTTGAACTCTTTAGCAAAGTCTAGTGCTTCAAAGGCAAAAGCATCAGCCACAAGGGCCACAAAGGGGGTGCTAGAAATTAAGGACTTCAAGGTTTGGTGTATTGAGGGAAGAGAGAGAGTCACTGTGAACTGAATTTGGGTCTCTGTGGCAGCACCTTGAGGTAGGTCCTCAGGTTTCACTGGTGGAAGAAAAGTGTGGTTGATGTTTGGTGGAAGAGTTTCAAGGAAGATTTTTGAGGCACTTGAAGGGGACCCAAGAGTGGGAATTATGCATGTGACATGAAATTGTGGATGGAGCTGAACCAGTCTCTTGGAGAATTGGAGAATAGGGACTAAGTGGCTGAAGCCAGGACCAGGAACAACTGCTATGTGAATTGCTTTCTCCATGGAAACTTGTGGCCAGGTTCAGAGCCTATCAATCAAGTAGACAGAACTTTCAGAGGATGTGGAAAATATTACTTTTGTTTAGTGAATTTTGAAATAAAAAAACAAAATTTTATGTTATTAAATGATGTAAATTACATCAATCACTGAACTGAATAAAAATTAAATTTATAAAGATGTGTAGGTGTTACCTACCTATGTTTTGTATGACAAGAGCACATTAAGCATGAGCTGAGAAGATTGAAAATGATGGATAGGAGCGACTCTTCTCTTATGTTCGGTGTAGGGTTGTAAACTGTGGGAGGAATGAGAGTGGAATTATGGAAACTGCAAAATATTCCACAACCCACAGTACGTGTACGCTTCCCTGTCTGGACTTCTGAACGTTAGGCTTAGTCACCAATCACGATTTAATTTATAATTGGAGAAAATCAACTTTACTATATATTTTTTTAAAAAAATTAGGCATGATTAAGATGTGTGCTATAGTTAACTAAATGAACAAAATTTCGGTATTTTTTTTTATTAAAATAAGAGTTTGATCTTGTTAATATATATATATAATAAAAATCAACATTAAAAATAAAAATATATTAAATTGTTGAACTCAACTTATATACCAGGCTGTTTTAAATTTAGTCCAAACATATGTATTAAATAAGTTACGTCTAGACTTTATTAAAAATTTATTTAGTTAAGCAATTTTATCGATGCGTCTTCTATAACACAAAAAAAAATTTAAATATATTAAATTTTTATTAAAAACAATATGATTTAATAGATTGATAATATTGATATTATAATTTTTAATAATTTTTTTATTAATTTGTTATTATACGTTTGAAGATACACACTAAAAAAAATTGTCAATTAAAAAGGGTAGACTTCATTTCTATCTGATAATTCTTTTTAAAACTAATTCACTGACTCATTAATAATAATATATTTTGATATTAAAAAATAATACAATAATAAATATTAGATTAATTATGATATATATTTTAATAAAAATTTAAATATGAAAAAGTATAAAGTATACGCATTATATATAGTGATAGACAAAAAAAAGTAATAGACAACTTAACTTTAAAAACAAATTTCTTATAATTAACTAAATAATAGACTTTAGGAGAATATTCGAGAACATTATGAATTTAAAAAAAAATAAATGAAAGTAATAAATCATGTAATTTAATAAAAAAATGTTTTCCGCATGAAATTAAAGATATGTAATTACTATTTTTTTACTAAAATTATTATAAATAATAGATTAAACTTTATAAATTTTATAAATATAAACATAATTATTTTATAAAAAATTTAAAGTTTATGTAAGGTAATGAGAAAAATTGTATAAATATATAAATATGTATTCATGAAAAATTTTAAAATTTACATAAGGCAATAAAAAAAATTAAGTAGCTTTGATTTTCAAAATTTAGAACAAAATTCATAAAAATGTGAATAAAAAATAAAATAATTGAGAAAAAAATATAATATCCACATCATTCTAAGATTATTTTAATTACAAAATATATGCATGGTAAATTGTACTAAATGATTCACTTCCAAAACAGTAAACTATCTTTTACATTATTAATTAACTTAAGTTTTTTTATTTATTTATTTACATAAGTCAAATGATGTAATTTGAGAAAATAATAATTTTGATTCTGCTTAGATTTTTCCGATCTACCTTTGTTTGATTTTTTTTTTCTTCAAATAATGAGTTTTTTAGTATAAGAATTTTATTATCTAATTATACTGATTAAGGAAACAAAATATTATCATAATTTTATGAGAATTTAACACATCATTCATGTTAGTTCTCTTTCTTAAAAACTAATCTGATCAATTTTAAATACAAATATAGCAAATATTTATAATTCTCAGGGACCGAGGTAAGATTTTTCCGGCCTCTATTGTCAAATTCATAATAAGAAATTTGAAAATTTACTCTAATAAATAACATATAATAAGCTACCTGAATGGTATAGACTTTAAATTCAGTTTCAAGAGTAAGGGTGCAAATGGATCAGTTGAGTTGGGCTTTGCAAGAAGCGTAACCTTTACTTGAGATGTGAACTATTTCTTAAAGTCTGACTTGCAAGTCTATTTAAAAGCTCTTTTTTTTTATTATTTTACAGTAAGGACATTTAAATAGGTTAAAAAATCACCTCTACATAGACTAATGGTCCTAAATTTAAGGTTTAAAACAAAATAAATATATAATATCAAATTATTATTATTAATATAAGCTGGCTCTTAAGTCTAAAAGGCTTTTTACATGACCTAAACTTTCTTTTAAAAAAAATAAATAGGCTTTTAAATTAGCCTTGACCTAACCTATTCAGTAAATATGCCTAGGCCGCAACAAGCGGCTTGTCTTATTTTCACTCCTAAAACCGAGAGAAAGAAATCTAATGTTTTAATTTTCAACATCCAAGATCAAAGAGAATCTCACCAGCTTCTAAATATTAAGTCCAACTAAATATTCTGGCATGAACCAAATCAGAATTCAGCAGTCACAAGCAATGTGTTATGTAGTAGATAGAATACAGACCAATTTATCTTCAAAAAAATGAGAAGTAAATGGAATTTTTAAGACAAAAGAAAAATAACAAATTGGACACCAGTTCAGAAAAGTCATTCTCCGTTGGTTAAAACAGACAGAATTCGTTGTGATTCTAGCTCATGGCCTTCGAAAAAATTAAAACCATCAAATTAAAAATCCCATTTCCGTGATTCTATTCCGTCATAATTTTACACACTGAAAATCCAGAACAGAAAAGTATCACTTGAATTCATACCTAATAAATATCACATTCCCCTAAATATTTGAGCAGTGTTTCCATCAAGGAGAGGCTATCATGAAATTGTTCTGTTCAAAACCCGCAACTTCAAATCCTCCCAAAATTTCAATACCCTGGCTAAATAACAAGACCATTCAGGGGACTTTCTTTCGATGAACAAACCAAGCCTGGTTAATATATAACAGCCAACACATGGAAAATATGAACCTTGGGCTTCAGAATATGGAGCTTGGACAACAGGCAATAATGAAAAAATTGAAACCCCAAAAGTAATCAAATTTTATCCAATATCCAGAGCCCAACATTAGTGCTGAAAGTAAGTGGCATAAATCATGAACCTTAGAAGCCACTAGTGGATGATGCAGATCCAGATCTGAGACCAGACGTGGATCCATTGGTCGTTTTGCTGATGATCCCTTTTCCAAAATATTCAGCAATGACAGAAAACCCATCTTTAGAGCTCTTCACCTGCTGAAAAAACCTGTCCTGATCCTTAGAATTTTGTTCTAAATTTCTTCTCATTTCTACCACAGACCTATATTCAGGAGCACACTCGGGGCATTCTTTTTCATTGTCGCCAAGGCAGCGCAAGTGGAATGAATGCATGCACATAAAGTGCACAGCAGGCAGATCAAGGGTGAAGGTGCATGCAGTGCACTTGCTAAGCTGAAATATTCTAGCATTTGTTCTAAGATCTTGAATCTCTTTTCTCATTGTCAATGTATCTTCCTGTATAGAAATGCATTATAGAAATCCTTCCATATTACAGAAAGAAGAATAAAAACTAAATATCACTACAGATTTCAGGCAAATTTCTTTCTTTATCTATATATGAACATCTGAGAAGTATTTCCGAATAAATTCAATTTCATTATATTCAAAGAAATTATTTCTATTTATCAAAATCATCATTCGTACTTACTAGTTTATCACTCAACTGTTAATGCTCTAAATTGCAAATGAATGTTTTCATTTTGTGTTCAATAGTCACTCAAGTGTTTAATTGTTCAAGCATGACAAATTTCAATACCTTCATTTTCATCTCAATTATCCAAATTCTTGTTCATATTTAATTATCCAGTGCATGATCCAAGGGAAATGGAATAGAGGAAGAGAAAGAAAGTGACAGAAGAGAAGACAATTTTGAAACCATACATTTATAGAAGTTCAAGGTATTAGCCATGATTTGGATCCTCTGAATTGGTCACATAAATTCTAATAAGCCATTCTGCAACTCAACTTGGTTATAACTTATAACTTTCTTTCCACTGATCTCAATGTTACTGCTTTTTATGGAGTAGTACCATTTCAAGTATTGCCCCTACCAGACTTCAATCAGGATAAGAATGAAGTAATAAATATTCATGATGTCCATTTGTAGCTAACCATTATCAAATGAAAAAAATAATAATACTAATAACCCTAAACTTTAAGTGTTTCTATATTCTTAAACTTGAAATGAAAAGTTGTTTCAGCTTTGAAAACCATGATCTTATCTGCTATTGGTGCCTAATGCATGGAAAGCATCTTACTTATGTCTAAATTGTGTTCAAATTATTAGGAAACAAAAGGAATTTAAAGAGGACAATAAAAACTATTATAAAGTCAAACAAAATTAAGACCCAACCCTATACCCAAAAAAGAAATAATAATAAATAAATAAAACTATGACCCAACCTGATATTTCTCAATGGCTTGTCGGTCCTCCTCGATCATCTTTGACTCCTGCTCAAGCTTTCGAGCAATGTATTCCTTGATCACAGAAAGTGTGAGGCATGGATTCCTGGAAAGTGTTTGAAGGACAATTATAGGGGGCAAAATATCATCCCTCTCAATATAAGTCAAAACTTCCTTTACTTCTTTAGAGCAATCTTCGCCCAGCTCACCAAAATATTTAAGTAGATCTGCCCAAAGAGATGGATCCCCTCCTTTAACTGAATCCCCCAGTCTTTTGCAGCATGCAATCAACCCCTCATGATCATGTGCTTGCATATAGCAAGCAATCACTTCTTTATAGAGTTTCATCTTTTCATACAAATACAAAAGCCCATCTTTGAATGCATTCATTTCACAAAGTATAATGGCCAAATCAACATCATAAAGTGGATGTTCTGTCTCTGGAGGCCATGCACTCCTAAGCAAGTGTAGACCCTTTTCACGCCTTCCATGACGGTCCTTTTCCTCTTCTGAACTTTTGTGATTAGCAATCCTTCCATTGGACTGAGCACTTACATTCACAGTTTTTGCTGATGCTACATTAAGGTAATCTCCACCCTCGTTAACTTGCGACATTGAAGGAAAGTTCAATTCATTGGATATATACAACTCCAAGAGGGTATTGTGAATCTCAACTTGAGCAGGTGAATCCTTGACCTTATTGGTATACTTTTCTAGAAAATCCATAAGGGACTTAGGATGATGAATGAAAATGCTAAGAAAATCAACAGGAGATGGCAACATAGACATATAAACTCCATTTGAGCGTCGACTTTTGTCACCATCCTCTGTGCAAAGCCTAATGAGAATATCAATTGTCTCCACTGGCTTGTGCTCTATCAGAATTTTACCATACTCCTTTATTGTCATCCCTGCCTGACTTGGTTCAAGACTTGAAATATATTCCAAGGCCTCTTCATACCTACCAAGATCTTCAAGCAAGATCTTCAAGTACCATTCATGCCTTCCTGCCTTCTTTGCAACATACATTGCATGCTCATGGTAATTGGCAGCACGGCAAACCCTGATTGCTGTTTCCACATCAAACTTAAGTTCCCCAATGCTGTCATCGCTTTTAATAAATAGATTTAACTTTTCAACATCTTTCAATTTGGTATAACAGTTTAATAAAAGTGTTGTGTGATCTTTAGAAGCAAGACCCTTCTCATGCAACTTTTCCAAATAATTTGTGAGGTTGTAGATCCTCTGAGCATCCAAAAACTTCTGTATAACATAAGAAGGTTCAAGATGACCTATAGTATGTATGTACTGGGCCATTGCCTCATCATAGTCTTGCTTGCTATACAAATGATCCCCGTATTTTCTTAGCACTTCAGCAGTAGCTGCAGCATCTGCTTGCTGAGTCTGTACGAGATTAATTGCTACAGTATATAGGTTTTTCTTGAATAACATGTCTAACTTGCTTTCCATATCTTTTTCTCCAATGCATAAAGCTGATTTATCAGTCATTATGAGAATGATGTTACCCCATTCATAAAGCATATGAGAAACTTCTTTAACCAATGCACTGTGGGCTATTAATCGATTCTTCAGATCATAGATGTTAAAAGTATGCTTTCCTGTTCTTTGATCTGCAATGACACACAAAAGGTATCCACGGAACCATCCTAGCAATTTCTTCTCTCCCTCAAAAGCCCAACAAGGACCACGTCCATCAACTTCATAAAAATATACTGCCTCTGATCGACCAATTATCAACTCCTGTTCATGTTAACAAATAGAAATATTTAGCATTCAGAGAGAATATAATCATGATAATATGTAAAAATCATAGAGAACAAGGGACAAAGATAGCTTACAGAGCGGTCACTCATTGCAACGCTGTTTACACCACATCCAATCTGATCAAGGGTTTGCCTTCTTGGTGGTTGATCATGCAATGAGAACAAGCTCACTGAACTTGGAGTTGCAGCAAATAACTGTAGAGATTGACCATCCACCCTAAACCCAAGACCGGTTATGGGGGAAAGAGTTTTGTCCGAATGGTTTTCCACTTGAAGCTTGAACCGAGTGATACGCTCCCGTGCAATGTCTCCTTTAATGCAGTAAATAGAACCATTGTCTAGGCCAATAGCTATGAGTAGTATAGGCGGTACTTCTTCTAAGACTAAAAAAGATGTAATCTGCAGTATACCACAGGTTCAAAAATCATAAAAATTAGGAATCAAAATAATCAAACTATATTATTATCTAGTGTTGCTACAACCATATGGAGATCTTTAATCTGAGGATGAAGAATACAAGCAAGCACAGCAGTGCCATTACCTTTGCCTCAGGAAACTGATTTGTGAATATACGCAATATCCCAACACAATCAGGACTCGTCGTGCTAGAACTCTCAGGCTGCATCTTATCAAGGTCAAAAACCTTGAGGCACAAAGCTGATTGCTGGGGAGTAAGCTGCTCATCTTCCCCAATAGTTACCAGGAAGTTGCGTTGCTGATTATTCAACACATAAAAGACACCTCTTTTAACTTCAATTCAAGACCCTAAGCATAATCCTGGACTATAACCAAGAAAACATTCAAGCCAGAGTAGTCCTCCACCAATTTTTCAAAAGGAGGGAAAATTTATATACTAAAAACCCTTTATTTATTTCACGGTTTCACCAATTTTTGCAATACGAACAATTAAAAACGAGATTTCAGAAAATTCCAACATTGAAGCAATGAGCAATCAGACACAAATGATTTGCCAAAACCCAAAAATCACTTAGCCATATGCCTGAAACCAAAAATTCCAACACTGAAGCAATCAAATTCTATCTATACTACCCTTAATTACAAAGCTCTGAAATTCTTCCACCAATTAAAAACATGATTTTGGAAAATTCCAACACAAAAGCAACAATCAACCCGACACAAACAATTTGTCAACAATCACATCCCCATTACCCAAAACAACAATTGCAACAATAAGCAGCAATGAATCACACACAAATCAGTTTCCAAAACCCACATCCCCATTACCCAAAACAACAAATTGCAACACACACAGCAATCAAATTCCATCTCCCCGATTTCCACTTTCAACGTTTCCCATCTCTCCCAAACCCATTTCCACCCTCAAATCCCATCAAAAGATGCTCAACAAAACACAGCGAAATTGCCACACACACCCACATACCCATTTGCCCAAAACAACAAATTCCAACAGAAAAAACACAGAAATGATCTCTTACCTTGAGGTGCTGAAGAAATCGAACAGAAGAGGAGTGAGGTTGAAAAGCGTAATTGAACTTAAGGCCTCGATCGAAGAAGCAAACGGTGCCGTTTTCGAAACCAGTGACCAACTTGCCCCTCCCACTCGAACAACACTCGATCTTCTTGCTAGCAAAGTCTCCATCATCATCGGGAATCGCGCATTTCGCAGCGTACTTCTCCTCGAAGAACTCGAACTTCCTCCACTGATACATTCTACAACGATCGATCCAATTTCTCTACCAATTCCTATTCCTTGATTCTTCACCCAATTGGTTCTTCCAGAAACCCTGATTTATCTAACGTTAAATCATGTCATGCACTTCAAAAATTAGTGTCATGTTAAATGAAATTGAAGCCGAGTGAAACATCAATTTTGGCTCTTAGAATGCAAACTTGATCGTGACTTTCGTAACCGGCGAACGGCGACAAAACTACAATTAATTTAGGACTTCATATTTTCTTGCAATCATGTTGTTATTCTCTCAAGTTCATAATTATATTATTCATTTTATAGGTATTAATATCAGTCTATTTTTATATTTTAATTAATAATTATTCTTTAAAACAAATTGTATATTTTTAAATATTTAAAATTATTTTAAAGGTTAATGTTGACAATTTTTGTTATAATAATCTAATTTACAGGATGTTAAAAGTTTGAGTAAAATTTATTTTATAATATTAAAAATAGAGCATTATTATTTTACCTAAATTTACGGTATTGCAGAAAATAATTTTAGATGGGTTAAAAATATCAGTAATATTTCTAGACTAAGTTTATTATTAAAATTTTTATAGATAAAATATTCAAATCTTACATTAAAAGTTATAAAAAAAGGGTAGATTATCTTTATATAAATTTAAATTTTTACATAATTTTATTTAACAAGTTATAATTTATTATTTTACTAATAATTAAATATAAGTTAAATAAAAAAATTTAAATTGATTATAAAAGTTTTTAAACTTCCACTTATGTAAAAAAAATTTCTTTTATTAAAATGTATGTAACAATTATATTTAGAAAAGATTACTTTTTCTATTTGTTTTTAAAAAATTGTATGAAATATTATAATTAGAAATCAATTTATAATATTTGATTAACAACGGATGGGTTTTATACTAATGCTTTATGAGTGGAGTTTAAACTTACACAAGAGATTATGACTATGTTCATATCTTTTGCATTGATTATTGTGACAATGCAACTTATAATATGTTTGACATTTAAATACTTTATGTTCCTGTTAAGGTAACTCGAGTCTTCAAGTCTTTACTCTGACGTGCTGATGTTTCTCTAACCGTTGCTGATGTAGGAGGGTACCTGCAAAAGGTACTTCGATGTTTAAGTCAGGATTTGGTTCTGAGCAATAAATGCTATTTAATAATGAGAAGTCAACGCTTTACCTGTACTTTTACCTTCCTTATATAGACACTGTAATGGGCCTATGGGCCTGTCGAGCCAATCTTCATTTTAGCCCTTTATTTGAAGTAAATAATATCTTGATTATTACCTTTAATTGGGTTAATTACCTTTTAATCCTGACGAGTTATCCGGCCTATCATGCTGAATAGGTACTTGGTTTCCTTTTCCTACAAGTAGGATCGAGTTGATCTTTCTCAAGTACACTAGCCCCCCAAGCCCGAAGAGGCATAAAGCGAGGGCTTTAAATAGCAAGTGTTAAGGCTACAATAGGTAGTCGGTTAAGATGTATTTGACTATACCGAGGAGAGTATTCGGTTAAAGTGTATGTTGAATATACCGAGGAGGGTATTTGGTTTTTAGTGGACGAGTGATGGTAGTATTTAAACTTGAATAAGTTAGGTGTATATTAAAGGGTATTCGGTTTAGTAACATAATGATACAAACCGAGATAGTAGATAAAAAATCATAATAAAAATACATAATTTCTAAAGGAATATTCTAGAATGTTTTGCTTTTAGGGTTTCACCAGTGGGTGTAAGAAACGAAAGGGTGCCCGACCTTATCCCTTGATCTAAAAAGGATTTGACGGTTCAAAAGAAGGGGCGTCTTTTCGTTTGCCCACCACAAGATCCCTTATAAATATGTGGTGGTCCCTGCATCCATTTCCTGCTCTTTTGCTCTGTACCGAAACCTGCGCATTGTTGTTTCAAACCGAAGAGTGTTCAAAGATCTTCAATATTTCTTCCATACCGACTACGTGTAAGGTGCGTTTTAATTTCTCTTCTTTTTCTTTCATGGCCGAACCCGTTGAGTGGGAGGATTCTCTGTCTGACGTCTCAGGACCGAATATTGTCGAAGTAGACATTATGAACGGAACTGAGGGGAGTAGCGAAGTTTCATCTATATCAAACAAGGGGGCTGAAGAAGCACAGGTCAGGGAATGTAGTAACGAAGCCGAGTCGTCTGCTTCGAGTGATACTGACGCTTCTAAACCCTTATCGAGTACTAGTCCCCCTAGGGAAAGACAGGTGTTTCCCCCCTGTACAGTACCTGGATATGAGTGGGTGCACGGTGAAGTGGTCGTGTACTTTTCTCGTTTTAGAAGAAATAAAGGTCTTCAACTTTTTGTAGATAATTGTGATATTTCTTTGTGGGAGGCGTCTGATCCGTATCCAATACACCTCAATCCCTGTCAAGGGGACGAAACCGAGAACCCTGACTTTGTTTTCCTGGGGGGTGCAAGAATGGCTGACACCTTCTTTATGTACGAATACATGTTTAGAGAGTTAGGTATCAGGCTACCCTTTGACGACTTCCAAATGGGAGTTTTGAGGGTTTTGAATGTAGTGCCGACACAACTGCACCCCAACGGGTGGGCGGCGATACAGGCCTTTAGGATACCTTGTAAATTCCATTATATAGAACCTAGTGTAGGCCTATTTCTTCATTTCTTTTGTACACGCCCATCTGACTTAGCAAGGTGGGTGTCTCTAATAAGGCAACCCGAGTTGCCTTTGTTTAAACCATATGCTTCGTTTTTCAAGGGTTTCAAGATTGGTTACTTCAAGGTGACCGTGGACCCTGTAGGTAGAAATTATTTTTTTGATAGCGAGAATAATCCTCTCTTCCCCTTTCATTGGACTCGGGCACCTTGCCGATACGAAATATTCCCCGAGGACATGTTGTCGGCTAGGGAGTTATTAGACTTGGAATTTTTGAAGTCCCTCCCCCGGGATCTATCTGCCCGACATATAATTCTCGTGCTCAAGTCTCCGCGTCCTCGTTGGGATATGAAGGGTATGTATTGTCCTGATTGTAACTTATATTTTGAATCAAGTTGTATTGATTTGACTTATTGTTTTTAATGTAGGCTTAATGGCTCAGCGAGGTGTTGATGTACCGACTTTCCGTCGTACCTTGAAGCATAGGATGCCGGAAGGTATAGCTGATGAGGAGCACCGACACCCTCAACTTGACCAACTTCCAGAAATATCTGAGCCTCGCCCACCTCCCCAAGACCTAGTCCCGGTAGAAAATCAACCCAGGAGGCGCAAAGACAAGGGCAAGGGCAAAGAGACCGAGAGGGAAAAAAAGAGAAAACATGCCCACTCGGCGGAGCCGAATGCTACTGAAGGGGCGCGTAAGCACACCCGAACAGCAATTACCGAGGGGGCTAGTAGTTCATTCAATCCGGTAATTCCATTGGATATGCTTACCGAGGCTTTCCTGATAAATGGGACTCACACTGGCCGGCTAGCTACTCCCAACTTGCTGTCTAACTCGGGTAAAGAATTGGTCAACAGTTTGGACTACGAGACTGTGTGGCGCTGCTATGCCGAACTTCAAGTACGATCGACAGCTATGCTTCGAAGGCTGGTTGTTAATCCACTTCTTGACTTGAAGAACATGCAGAAGGCGTATTCGACTTCACAGGAAGCTTTAGCCGAGAGCCGAGAGACTCAATCCAGCCTTGGTGAGACCATTCAATCCTTGGAGGCTGAAGTCAACCAGTACAAGGAACACTATCGGATAGTGGAGGGACGAGTGAAAATGGCCGAGGAGGCTCTGAGGGCAAAGGAGGAGGAGCTGGAGATGTTAAGGGTAAAGTCTGCTCAAATGGAGGAAATCCTAAGGGCCAAGTCGACCGAGATGGAGGAAGCTGTGGCACTTGAAAAGCAGAAGGCTGAAACCAACTTGAAGGCTTTCGCCGCAGAGTGTTCGAATCAAGTTGCATTTGAACACGAGTCTGGTTTTAAGCACGCTGTTCGTCAATGCTATGGATTCTGTCATGTCCCGACCGACTTCCATTTTGACATTACAAAAGACTTCTTTGGTGGCCGGTTCATTCCTTATACTGAAGTTGATGACGATGTAGAACCGGATGCCGAAGCCCCTATCCCAGCTGCTGATGAAAATGCCCCTCTCTTGAGGGCCCTGGACCAGATATTGAAGAACAAACTTAAAATCATCATTTTTTTTTTCGGGGCAATAGTGTTCCCCTTTTGTAATCAAAAATCTTGAAATACAATTTTCTTATTTGGATTTTTGCGTGTGTATTGGAAACATAAATAACTTATCCAACTATAACCGAGCACTTATTATACAATTCAAACAATTAATCATTGTAAGGATAACGTCTGTAAGGGGATTCAGTAGTGATTAAAGTAATTAATTCAACCTTGGCCGAGTAGGGGTACTCGGGAGGAGATTAAATTAATTCAACTTTGGCCAAGCAGACACTTGGCATGTAATTTACATAATAATTCATCTTTGGCCGAGTAGGGGTGCTTAGGAGGGAATTAATTAATTCAACCTGAGCTAAGTAGGCACTTGGGAGGGAATTTAAATAATGATTCGTCCTTAACCGAGTAAGGGTACTCGGGAGGGAAATAATTAATTCAACCTTAGCCAAGTGGTACTTGGGAGGAAATTTTAAATGATAATTCGTGGGAAATAATTAATTCAACCTTAGCCAAGTGGTACTTGGGAGGGAATTTTAAATGATAATTCGTCCTTAGCCGAGTAGGGGTACTCGGGAGGGAAATAATTAATTCAACCTTAGCCAAGTGGTACTTGGGAGGGAATTTTAAATGATAATTCGTCCTTAGCCGAGTAGGGGTACTCGGGAGGAAAATAATTAATTCAACCTTAGCCAAGTAGACACTTGGGAAGGAATTTTAAATGATAATTCGTCCTTAACTGAGTAGGGGTACTCGGGAGGGAAATAATTAATTCAACCTTAGCCAAGTAGACACTTGGGAGGAAATTTTAAATGATAATTCGTCCTTAGCCGAGTAGGGGTACTCGGGAGGGAAATAATTAATTCAACCTTGGCGAAGCGATACTTAAAAGAGAAACCCTGATGAATATAAAACCGTACAAGTGAAAAGAAGTATTTTATTGATAAGGTACCTCGTTAAAAACCTTCCCAGGAAAACCCCTTTTCACTTTCTTTTAAGAAGACAAAACCTGGGAGAGGAAAAGAGTACACTGTTTGCAGATTACTTTAACTATAATAATGCTTCAAATGTGTAACATTCCAGGTCCTTGGTATTAGTTTTCCTTC